TCCTTCTATTCTTAATGATAACCTCACTGAGTATCCTTGAAGGTTTTTTTCCTTTCAGCACTTTGAATTTATCATGCCACTCCCTTCTGGCCTCAGTTTCTGGTGAAAAATGGGGCCTCCCTGATTGTAACTGTTTTCTCTTGCTTTGCTTTTAAGGTTCTCTGTCTTTAATCTTCGATATTTTAATTATTACGTGTCTTGGAGTGGACCTCTTGGTTTGTCTTGTTAGGGGTTCTGCATGCTTCCTGGACCTGAATGTTTGTTTCCTTTCCCATGTTAGGGAAGTTTTCAACTATTTTTTTAAGTAAGTTTTCTGACCCCTTGTTTTTCTCTTCTCCTTCTGGTATCCCTATAATGTGAATATGTTACACTGGATGATGTTGCATATTTCCCATAACCTATTCTCATTCTTTATTCTCTTTGATATTTGGCTTGGTTACTTTCCATTACCTTGTCTTCTAGATTGCTGATCCATTCTTCTGCGTTCCGTCATCTGTTGATTCCTTCTAGTGTATTTTTCATTTTAGTTATTGAATTTTTCAACTCTGGTTCTTTTTTATATTTTCTGTGTCTTTGAAGTTGTAACTGTGTTTATCTACTCTTCTCAAGTCCACTGAGTATGACTATTACTTTAATGTTTCATCAGGCATATTACTTATCTGTTTCATTTAGCTCTTTTACTGTGATTTCTGTCATGTTCATTCATTTGGGACATATGCCTCAGTCTTCTTACCTTGTCTTACTCTGTGTTTGTGTGTATTAGGTCAACTACAGCTTTTGGTCTTGAAATTAGTTACCTTGTGGGACACCTGGGTGGCTCAGTCAGTTAAGCATCTGCCTTCGGCTCAGGTCATGATCCTGGAGTCCTGGGATCGCGTCCCGCATCGGGCTCTCTGCTCAGTGGGGGAGCCTGCTTCTCCTTCCGCCCTGTTTGTGCTTGCTTGCGTGCGCTCTCGCTCTCTCTCACACACAAATAAATAAAATCTTTGAAAGAAAAGAAAGAAAGTAGTTACCTTGTAAGGAAATGGTCTTGTGGTGCCCTAGAACACAATCCATTCTTTTCACCAGAACTCAGTGCTCCAGGGGTATCCCCTCTGTGGGCTGCATGTGTCGTCCTATTATGGTTGAGCTACCCACTGAAGGCAGTCACCCTCTTTGCCTCCTGTGGGCACACTGGGCAGAGTTTGCTCCCTGTGCTGTTGAGGCCCACCTGTGGCTGATGTGGGGTCATTGGAGGGTGGAGCCAGCAGTCATCCTAGTTGTCCACAGTTAGCCTCTCTGCCACAGCTGCAAGCACACAGAAGAGCAGGGCTTTCTCCCTGTTCAACCAGCTAAGGGGCTCAGCTTCATGAACTGCAGTCATGCTGGGGTGAGGGGCTCGCTCTCCCTCTCCCCAGGGCAGGAGTCACTTTGAGTGGCCCTGTGGACCTAATGTTTTATCATTTGTAGTAGCATGAAAAGTAATAAAGACAATTCCTTCTTAAGCATGAGTCTTACAATGTTAAGCATATGTGTGTGTCTCAAAAAAAATTTTTTCCCTAATTATGTAGGTCTTGGCAAACTTTCTGTGAAAGGCTAAATAAAATTTTTCAGCTTGATAGGCAACCAAGGTCTATGCTAGAACTATTGAACGCTACTTCTGTAGTATAGAAGCAGCCATAGACAATATTTAAGTAAGTGTGGCTTTGTTCCAGTAAACTGTACTTACTAAAGCAGCAGCCTAGACTATGGACCTCAGACTATAGTTTGCCAATTCCTTATTAAAATCATATACTTTTGAAGGCAAAAAAAATAAAAAAAGTGTTTTTGGTTTTTTTTTTGTTTTTTTGCCAGGCCCAACTCTGCTTAGCTTCTGAGGTCAGACGAGATCAGGCACGTTGATGATTTCACTTCTACGAACTTCTCATGCCAGTAGTAATGCCTAGGATTATGAGGCTACATTAGAGTTTTACTAGAAGTAGTATCATTCATTAGTATTCACTTCATCAGTTTTTCTCATTTATAAAATGGGTAATAGATGGTTTAAAATCAGTAAAAACACACCTTATAAGATTGTTTTGAAGATTAAATAACACACCTACATCACTTAGTATGTGCGTGGCACCACCAAATACAGAGTAAACCATTCACTAATTCTGTGAATACTTACTGAGTGCTTTACTGTGTGTCAAGCACTATTTCAGTACCAAGGATATTAAATGGTGGGTATTGTTTTTATAACATACTCTCTTCAGGTAATAAATTTCCATTAGTAACCATCAGGCATTTCTGTACTCCTTTATTTGCCGTCTTTAAAAAATAAAAACAGCTCAAATCAGTATATCAGTTAAAGCCGTAGCAGAATTTTATTTGCTGCCAGCCATTCTTCTACTTATGACATTCTGGCTTCTGTTTCTACCATTTTAGCTCCTGATGTTTAAATCTTACTCGACTCTAGTATTTGAAACTCTTCCCTTCACTTCTGTGAATTTGTTACCTCCTAGTTTTTCCTACAACTAACAAGCTTTCCATTTTCCTTTCCTAGCATCTCATCTACCACCCACCTTTCAAATGTTAGTTATAGTCAGGGTCTATCTTTATATTTTCCTTCCTTTCTTACTCTCTTGAATGTCCTACTCCCTCGGTACCAATTTAGTTACCTGATGACTCCTAATCTGTATCTTTAGGTCACATCTCTCTGTTAGAAATCACATTTCTGGGCGCCTGGGTGGCTCAGTTGGTTAAGCGACTGCCTTCGGCTCAGGTCATGATCCTGGAGTCCAGGGATCAAGTCCCGCATCGGGCTCCCTGCTCAGCAGGGAGTCTGCTTCTCCCTCTCCCACTCCTCCCTCTTGTGTTCTCTCTCTCAAATAAATAAATAAAATCTTTAAAAAAATAAAAAGAAATCACATTTCTGACTGCAAGTGGACATTTTCATTTGTATAATCTCGTAGATACCTTAAGCCTATGAATCGTCTGAAAATCTTGTTAAATATAGAGTAAATTCTGTAAATTTGGGGTGGATACTGAGATTCTGCATTTCTAGTAATCCTCCAGGCTGTGGCCCACATTTTTGGTAGAGAGGCCTTAAACCCAGCATATCCAAAAACTGAATTGCTGGGTTTCTCTTAGAAAAGTATACCATCTTCTTTCCTGTTTCCACAAATGGCAGTATCACCAAGCAAAAGCATAAAACACAGGAATCATGACTAACCTTTATTTCACTTTATACTCAGTTACCAAATGGTATCTCTTCCCCTCCTTAAGAACTTTCAAATCTTACATCCTTGGCCTTCTCTGTGATTTAAATTAAGCCTTTGGCATCTTTCTCTAGAAGGATTAGTTATTTGTTATCTGGTCTAGGTATCTATGTTCCCTTTTCTTTCTTTTGTTGTGTCCTCTACACAACTACCAAAAAGACCTTTTCCGGTAGACATATTTGATTTCTGTGGCCCTCTATAGTTCCCCATTACAGAATAAATTGTCAAACTCAATAGCTTCACAGTACAAGACCCATCACAACATGCTTTTCTTGATTGTCATTCACACCCCTAGTTCACGTGCACAACTATCTGCATTTCTCTGAACTCTGATCTCTAAGACTTTACATACACCGCATGTTCCTCCTGACTTATGCCCCTTCCAGTTCTTGTAGCAAACTGCTGTTCATTCAAAATTTAGTCCAAACGTTTTTTGTGGACTTTAGACAGAATTTTTCACTTTATCCTTTATATTCCACAGTTGCCACATAATATTATAATATATACATAATATTATAATGTACTTATTTGCTTTATTGGTCTTTTGCCTCTACCGAACTAGGAACTCCTAAAGCCCAGAATTTTTTTTTTGTCATTAATTTACCCAGAATCTATCTAACACTACTCCTCGTATTAAGAGGAATTCAAATATTTATTGAATGGAATTACAAAATGTATCTAATTCAAGGGTGCCCCCACTTTTGACAAATGGGAATCGGGTGAAAAGCCTGTGTTTGTGTTGGTTAATATATCCCTGATGGATTTATAGTCTTCAAACATTCTTTTTCTTTATCTTTCCACACTAAGAAGTCATATTTTTAGTTTGTCTTGTCTTCGTTGTTGTACCTCCAGTCTCCTCAGATTCTTTCAGTTATTTAAGTTGCTCTTTTCTGAATGTTTTTTCAAGTGCTTTTAAATGGTCTTGTTGGGAAGACCCACATGACTCATAATTCTACACTCCAGATGGTTTGTATACAAGAGTAAATTTTCTTATTTTAGAGATACTCTTTTAGGTACCCAGAAGCTTGCTGGAGCACTGTTGAGAATTCAGTTCTGTTGTTTGTTGTTGTTGGTCGTTCTCATTGTATTGTTTCTGGGTGTGATATACGACATTTTTATTTAGAATATATTCTGATTCAAATGTTTATTTTTATCAACAGGAAAACATCTGTCATTTCTTATAATTTTATGTGATAGTTCACAAGTCTTAACCATCCTTTCTATAAGCCCTTATAATCAAATTAAATCTTAAAACCAGTAAAGTACATTGTATGACTGACTAATTGTGATGTGATCAAGAGTATATCATTACATCTAGCCAAGTATATTGTCTTTTTCATTTATATTTTCACTTATTTTGAAAATAAATTAATTCAAACATTTTCCTTTAACCTCAGGACATACCCTTCCTGTTATCTCATCATCCCCAATTTTACCCTCTCTTTGGAACTAGGAGGATAGATTTTGTTTTTAATATTGTTTATTACCTCTGAAGAGTCTGAATTAGAAGAAGAGTCCTACTAGTTTCTAAGTACTACATATAGCAAAACCAAGCTCCTCTCCAAGGGAGCTGTGCAAATGCCCTGCTGATAGAATCCAGAGTGAAAAGCTGAAACATTTCATGTGTTTTCTAATCACTTCTGTATATTTGATCACTTTAAAGTACTAGTCACAAAACTGCCTTTATAACTGACAAATAAGTTGGCATAAGAACATTTTCTAGAAATGGAATGACTGGATTTTTTTTTTTTTTTTTTTTAGATTTTATTTACTTGTCAGAGCACAAGCAGGGAGAGTGGCAGGCAGAAGGAGAAGAGGGCTCCCCACTGAGCAAGGAGCCTGATGCAGGACTTGATCCCAGGACCCTGGGATCATGACCTGAGCCGAAGGCAGACGCTTAACTGACTGAGCCACCCAGGAGTCCCAGTGACTGGATTTCTTTGGGAATAATCAAACTGATGTTATTGAGCTATTTTTAAAACAGCAGAAAGTAAACTAGAAAAGAAGTTACTAGGAGTCTTTTTGCAAGTTTTATACTCTCATATAGCCTGTCCCAGTGCCATGTGTACATAACAGCACCCAAGTATCTGTTGGAAGATTAATTCACGGCTTGTAAAATGTGATTCGCTACTACAGGGTATTGAACAGATACTCCCCTCATTCAAGACTAGGGGGCTTTGTAGATCTATGGTTAAAAAGCAAAGAACTGATGAAAATAGTCATTAGTGACTCATATTAAGTTTATTCATTTCAGCCTATTAAAAATCTATTGAATGAAAATTATTAAATGTGCTAGGTTCTATTAAGGGATACAAAAAATATATAAGAACAGTCCTTTTCCCCTAGAGTAGTTTCTTATGCATTAGACAACACACTTAGTGTTAACCGGTGTTTTGTACAAGTATACATATAGCATTTGCCAAAGGGATGGTATAAAATGCAACAGGTATCATGAGATCTTTTTTGCTTGGGGATTCAAGAGTCTGCAGAGTATTTGGATAAATCCTAAAGGATGGAGTTAATAAGAAGTTCTAATAAAAAGACTTAACAATCAGCTTTATTTTGAACTGAATTCTGTAGGGGAATTATAGATATAGGATATCTGAGTCTCTTCCCACAAGTTCTTAATCTTAAAAAGAAAAACTATATACTTGCATTTAGGACAATAAAACAAAGAGTAATAGTAAATAAGGACCTTTATAATGAAACATGTCTATAATTCCAGTGCTAGTTAATTGTAAGTTTAAGAAATAAGTTCTCAGAAGCATGTATGTCACCATAAAATCTAAGAACTATCAAGTATTATTTTAGAAAAATGTGTTCTAAATTTAACTAAACAGTTTTATATGATGATTGCTAAAAAATTGGTAGAGTGTAGATCAATAGTCCAAAAAAGGGAAAACGTTCATTTAAAACTTCCCCAAGGGGCACCTGGGTGGCTCAGTGGGTTAAACATCTACCTTCAGCTTGGGTCATAATCCCAGAGTCCTAGGATCAAGCCCCACATCGGGCTTCCCTGCTCAGCAGAGAGCCGCTTCTCCCTCTCCCTCTGCTTGTGCTCGTTCTCCCTCTCTCTCATTCTGTCAAATAAATAAAATCTTAAAAAAAAAAAATTGGGGGGGCACCTGGGTGGCTCAGTTGGTTAAGCGACTGCCTTCAGCTCAGGTCATGATCCTGGAGTCCCAGGATCAAGTCCCGCATCGGGCTCCCTGCTCGGCAGGGAGTCTGCTTCTCCCTCTGACCCTCCCCCCCTCTCATGTGCTCTCTCTCTCTCTCATTCTCTCTGTCTCAAATAAATAAATAAAACCTTTAAAAAAAAAAAAATTAATGTAAAACTTCCCAAACCCCGTGCTCCACATATAACCCCCTATTAAAATAATAGTTAACATTTTTTAAAGGTTATGTGTATTGTACCAGGTATTTTATATTTTCTAGCTTAATTTTTTAAAGATATTTGAATAAATATATTGAAATATTTTTTTGTAACAACCAGAGGAAACAAACTGATGTCAAACTTGCTTTTTATTTACTTTTTTTTTTTTTTTTTTTTTTTAATTTATTTGACAGAGACACAGCAAGAGAGGAAACACAAGCAGGGGGAGTGGGAGAGGGAGAAGCAGGCTTCCCGCGGGGCAGGGAGCCCGATGCAGGGCTCGATCCCAGGACCCTGGGATCATGACCTGAGCCGAAGGCAGACGCTTAACGACTGAGCCACCCAGGCGCCCCTCAAACTTGCTTTTTATATATGAGTTTGCTTCTATGTCAGTAAATAGATTAGTTTTTAATGATTGTATGCATTTTGCGGTATGGTCCACATTAATTTATTTAACCTGTAGCTTCTTACACATTTAGATTTTTTCCAAATTTCTAGATGTGGTTAGCGGGACCTTATATATTATGTATCTTTGCATTATATTGTACACTTATTTCCTCAGAATAAAGAAATACCCAGCAGGGGACTTTCAGATTTGAAGAATATGTACATTTTAAGACTGTGTTCATTTTGCTAAATACCTCTCTGGAAATACATGTCTATTTATATTTCTCCCGCAAGTAACTCCCAGGAAAATCCCTCTCCTCACCCCCTCTCTAACCTTAAATATTCCTTTTAACTTTTGGCACTCTGAGTGAGAGTATCTCATTGTTTTGACATTGGATTTTTAGTGAGGATGAACATTTATTTCAAATGTTTATTGACCATTTGTATATTTGTACATTACATGCTCCTCTCTTTAGTCCATTTGTGCACCTATTATGTATTTAATAATTTATGAGAACTTTTATACATTGTTAGAGATTTTTACTTTTAATTTTGTTTCTAGTGGTGTTTAACTGTCCTGAAGTTTTCATTTTTGTATAGGCATATCCATAAAGCATTTCCTCTATGGTCATACTTAGGAAGAAGAATTTTATATTCCGTATTGAAGTTGTCTATGTTAACTTCTCTGTAATACTTACCACAGCTGAAATTATTAGTGTGACTACTGGTTTAGCATCTTTCTTCCTCACTGGACTGTAAGCTCCATAAGAGCAGGAATCGTGTTTTATCTCTGTCGTCTGGCGTACAGTGAGGTCTGCAATAAATATTTGTTGAATGAATTGAAAATCTTAATCCATCAGGAATTCATTTAGATACAAGATAGAAAAACAGGTACCTAGATCCTATTTTTCCCTAATAATTTGACAGATTTTCTCCAGTGTGTTAAATAATTCACACATACACCCCCAGACACAAACACATAATCATTTTCTCCTTCCCTCTCTGATTTGATAGTTTTACCATATTAAACAATGCATGCGGATATTTGATTATCTCTAGATCTCCTAATCTGTTTTATCTATTCTGGTATGACATTGTCTATTAACAATGGAACAAATTCCCCTCCAGTATTTCACTTTTTCTAAACTACCCAGACTTCTTACACATTTACTCTTATCACAGAGCTTTACTACCAAGCCCTCAGAATCCCATTAGAATTTGGGATTTTGATTAAGTTTGAAACAATTAACATCTTAAAATATTTATTCTTATTGAATAGTATGATATGCCTTTTCCATTTATTTATATGTTTGAATTTCCTTAGTTTTTTTTATGTAGGATCTAATGTTTTATTGAGTGTATTTGTACTTTTTGTATTAATCTTTGTAGCTAGCTTGAGTTTCAGAGTGAATAATTGGAATCTTTTTTCTTAAGCTTTTGTCAGGAGTGATAAACCCAAACTATTCAGAGGACTACAAATCAAGGTAAGAGGATTTTAATGGAATTCCTTTTTTCCAGTATTTTTTTTAATACCTTAGAGTAATTTTAGGTATACAGAAAAATTGATCCAAAAGTACGCTGTTCCCATATATACCCCCTCCTTGTATCCTCCCACCAGTTTCCCTTAACATCTTGCATTTATGTGGCACAATTGATGAACCAGTACTGATACATTATTAACTAAATTCCATAGCTTGCATTAGGATTTTTTCTGTATTGCATAGTTCTAGTTTTACCAAATGTATATAATACCACGTATACACCATTACAGTATCTTACAGAATAGTTTCATTGCCCTAAAAATATCCTGTGCTCTACCTCTTCATACCTCTTCCTGCCTCACCCCCTCCCGCAAACCCCTGGCAACCACTGATCTGTCTGTAGTTTACCTTTTGCAGAAGGTCATATGGTTGAAATCATACAGTATGTAGCCTTTTCAATTGGCTTCTTGGACTTAGCAATATGCACTTAAGGTTCTTTCCATATCTTCCTTACAGCTAGGTAGCTCATTTCTTGTTAACACTAAATAATATGAACATTCTGTTGTACCATAGTTTTTATATTCACTTATGGAAGGACATCTTGGTCGCTTCCAGTTTTTGGCAATTACGAGTAAAGCTGCCATACACATTTTTCAACTTATTACCTAGGAGCACAATTGCTAGATCATATAGTAAGATTGTTTAGCTTTGTAAGAAATTCCCAACCTATCTTCTAAATTGGCTATGTTATGTTGCATTCCTACTAGTTATGAGAGTTTCTGTGGTTCCCCATTTTCACTAGCATTAAGTATTGTCAGTGCTTGGCATTTTAGCCATTCTAATAAGTACATGATATTATCTCATCGTTTTATTTTGCAGTTCCCTAATTGAGCATCTTTTCATAAACCTATTGGCCGTCTGTAGGTCTTTTGGGTATCTGTTCAGATCTTTAGCCCACTTTTTAAATTTTTAATTGTGATAAATACATAATATTAAATTTACCATCTTAACTATTTTTAAACATACAGTTCAGCAGTGTTATATATATATTCACTGTTGGGGGCGCCTGGGTGGCTCAGTCGGTTAAGCGTCTGCCTTCAGCTCAGGTCATGATCCTGGAATCCTGGGATCAAGCCCCGCATCGGGCTCCCTGTTCGGCGGGGAGCCTGCTTCTCCCTCTCCCACTCCCCCTGCTTGTGTTCCCTCTCTTGCTGTCTCTCGTTCTGTCAAAATCTTTCAAAATATATATATATATATACACACATATATATGTGTATATGTATATGTGTATATGTATATATGTGTGTATATGTATATGTATGTGTGTGTGTATATGTGTGTATATGTATGTATATATATGTATATATTCACTGTTGGGCAACAGATCTCTGAAATTTCTTCATCTTGCAACACTGAAAGTCTATACCTATTAAACACTAATTCCCCCTGTCCTCCTCCCAGCCCTTTGACCAACCACCCTTCTGCTTTGTTTCTGTGATTTTCACTATTTTAGATACTTCATACGAGTTGAATCATGCAGTATTCGTCCTTTCATGGCTGGCTTATTTCTCTTAGCATGAGTCCCCCAAGGTTCATCTACCTTGAAGCGTGTGACAGGATGCTTTTTCTCCATCTATTGATAATATTTTTCTTAGTTAGCCTATTGGTGGGGTTATAGGAACTGATTTTCAAACGTTGTACCAGGCTTGTATACCTGGCATAAATCCTAATTGGTCATGGTATGTAATTCCTTCATACAGTTAGGTTTGACAATATTTTGAAGATTTTTACAGCTATATTCTATGTAAATTTTTCTTTTTGTGGACTAAAATGAGTTTTTGAAAAGTCAAATCTTTTAAAATAGTTTGTAGATAATCTAACCAAAAATGGTTTATTAATGGTATTGATTCGTTACAAATGGCTTGAGACTATACCAGGTGCTAATCACACCAGAGCTTGTCTCCAGCTCTGTAGAGTTCACAGACTAGACACCTGAGGCATAAATTGCCGAAAGAAGTTCTGAGAGCTGCCTTCATCATCACTGCTGCATTTTTAGATATGTGATTCAACTTAATTTAGCATTGAAGATGGATTTCTTAATGAATTGGAATCATGTTTGTTGATCATGTTGGTCACTGTTAGAATTTCCTCAGTTCTCTGTCATATTATTAGGGTCAACTAGTGAGTCTGAAGTTTCAGAATCCAGCCTAATTATAAACTAATTACAATAAAAAATAATTGATTTCTTAAAATTTAAAACTCAATACAGAATTTTGATAATTTGTGTGCACAGTCATTCTCATTTTGAACTTGTCTCCTCCATTAGGTTTTAAGCTCATGTGGACTTTGTTGTATATACAATAAATGTTTGTTTACATTCAATAATCTTATATCTTAGTCTTGATACCAACAGGTGTTTCTCTTTTTAGAGGTAAATGTAATTATTTAGTTCTTTTTTGAAATCCTATAAGACCTATTATGTTATATCTACATGCCTTTTTTATAGGGTAAAGCTGGATTAAATTGTTTG